GATGGTCTATATGAGTGGTGGTATTAGCCGGAATGAGTGGTGCAAGATTTTCTCCCGACCACCAAGCATGGTTATTTAGTTGGATTAGTTCATAACGTTGCGATTCTGCTTGCTTACTTTTGTTGTAGTTACCTAGCAATATCTAATGGTCTATCCAAACTCAAGTTACTCCTATGGTCTGTATTTTTGTTATCTACGTTCTTAGACTTTAGCCTTTTCCATCCAGACTAAAAAATGGACATAACCCGTGGCAGAGCGCGGGCTGATTACTAGTATATACTTAATATGACAAACTTTGACGACAAAGTCACTACTTGTCACAACTAACATGGAGTTATGACAAACTAGGATTTCGTCACATTAGATTGTTTATTGTGACACGATAAAAATGACAACTTTTTTAGTTGTCATCATTGACGAAAATTGTTGTAGTATACGTCGCCAAACCCTAGTTAAATCATGTGAAGGGTTTCAGCCATATAAACAAAATGAAGCCTCAAAATACCCTAAGAAAATACTCAGTAATGATATAGAACGAAAGCAGTTGTCTACCCTCGATTTAGGATTATTTACATCAAACGGTAAAATCATGGTTCAAGAACACGATTCTGCTTACGCCTAGGGTGCTAGGCGATAATAAAAATTCTCGCCAAGATCTTAGGCAACAAATAAGGTGTTCATAACGTTGAAGCAGAGCTAGACAATGCCTAATAGTGATTAAGAATTGGCAATTGGAGGAGCGCTCAAGTGCATCTAGTGGACAAGGGGAGGAATAATGTAGCTACCTTCCCCAAAACAAATCCATCGTAAACTAACCCCTGAGGTGTCCTTCGGTCCTTACCTCAATTTGGAATCACAAATTGCGACTCTAGATTAGAAAGTTGCTTCTCTTTGTTGCTCATTCCATTCGACCGACCATCTGCCATGCTGCTCCTCCTTGTCATTGATTGCCAGTGCATAGTAACATAAGACCATAACTTCCTACCGCTCCAGCACTTCAACATGCCCTCTGCCTTACAGGAGTTGCCACCATTTGTCTTCGTCAATTATCGACCCCCATTATTCAAAAGCCCACAAGCTTCTCCTTGCCGCTCCATTCTCTTTTGACCCGACCCTCTATCATGTTGTTCTTCGTCGTTGTAATAATGAGTGGCCAATATCCACAAGCTATATGTCCACACTCTTAATTTGACACTATTGATTCAAATCTTTTTTTTATAAACTTGTGGTTCTAGTAAATTGTGACATATTTTGTGTGTTGTGAAGGGTAGCTAATTCATTAATCATGTGAACCTAGATAAATAAGTGTTATAAAACTGTTACTTCTACTAAAAATAGTTGCTTTCATTTCCAACGTCTAGGCATGGTCTAAGAAGCTAGCCATTAGGCAATACTCCAACACCTACCTTATCCCTAATGCTTTCCTGAACCTTGGTAAAAACTATGTAAACTGTGATGTTGTGTGTTTGATTTACTTTTGGAAATTTTGATCTCTTGCATGGTAGAACAATAGATATAACCCTTTTTTTGGAAATCGACAAAGTTCATACCACCTTTTTTGGCAATCGAATTCACGATATGTTGGGGTGATTTTTTTTTTATGATAAACAATTATGGAAATCAAGACCGATTCACAAACATAACTGATTAGCTCCTTGAGAACAACTAACTGGGGTTTGCAGATGAGTATCTTCCTCAATCCATTAAAATGTGTCAAGTGATCAATGTTAGGACAATGTTGTGACGCCACCATTAAAGAGTGGCTCGACACCCCTATATCATCTAAGGTTCTATGCAAACTGAAAATTTTCAAATAGACTTTGGTTTCAAAAACATGTAAGAAATCAAACGGTAAGAGGTCATCGCCCAAAAAACGACTGACCCTGTATAGAAGCGGCAGCCTTCACCGCCAGTACTGAAGATCACGACAACGCAGGGGATAACCTGGCCCCTTTGAACATAAGTCTGCACATGTACATTTTATTTATCGTGTAATGACTAAATTGAGTTAAACATGATGGCACGGATGGCAATAGGTCGGGTTGGGTCGGGTTTTGCCAAACTCAAACTCAAACTCATGGGTTTATCCGTGAAAAAAACCCGGGGTAAAATCCACTGGGTTTGAAAAACTCAAACCCAACCCAACCCGCTGGGTATCCGGGGGTTCATGGGTACCCACGGGTTTTTGTCGTAAAAAATTTACAATAACAAGTTCCTATCAAATTAAAGTCAAATATCAATCTCTCAATAAAATTATCCATATATAAAACACCATTCTAGAAAATTCAAGCAAATCACAAATTAACTACACAAATTGTTCAACACCAATCTAGAAAACTCAAGAAAATTGAAGTCAATCACAAATTATCCATAAATACATGATTAATTGAAAGCTTCTTCCTTTCAATTAAGTTAACGCACTCTCCACTCGATAATATCAACTTCATTCAACACAATTAGAAAGAAAAAATTAGACATGTCTCCACAAACATAAATAAGATTAGTTGTTTAGAATATTAAATATACCGAGAAAATTAATTATATGTGTGTGGGCGGGTACCCATAGGTCGGGTTTACCTAAACCCAAATCCAACCCGATGAATAGTGAACGGGTTTAAACCCAAACCCGGCCCAAAACCCGTCAACATGGATTTTACCCGCATTGACCGGGTTGGATCGGAGGGTTAATTGTATCACATACCACTTAAATATTACTTTTGTTGCATACTAACCACCTAAATTTTTTTAGTTGCAACTAAACCACACAAATTGATTTCTAGTTGCACGGTCACATTTTCCATCCACAAACTTAACGGTGGGTACCAAATTGCAATTTTTTTGTACACACCAGCATTCCAACTCAGCCTGCTTGGTTACAACTTACAGGCTATCATATTTTCCTTCTTTTCCTCCTCTTATCTTTATTAAAATCCCACAAGGCCTCTTCCTTCACGTAGCTCCAAAGAAAATTTTGTATTCTTGCAATCTTCTCCAATCTAATATTGCTTCTCTCCTCAAGGTATATCTTCACTTTCCACCCAATCTCGCCTGCACCAGCAGCCCTCCTTTTGCTGCCGTTGAAAACTTATATACAGTCCATATACCCCATACATTCGTACGTTCACAAGCAACATTAATTGGGGATTCAGGTAGGTTGTTGATTTAAAGTTCTTCGTTAAGATAATACATAACTATCGTAAAGTCAATTAACTAGTAATCATAATAACCAAAAACATCCACTACCTGATGATTTGGAGATACTTCTGGCTTTCAACCATGAAATAACTATGCTATATTGCTATTACAAACAACCTCCACCCACTCACTAGAGGACACTGGTTAATGAATTTAAATACCTCCTAGATCGTGAATAAGGTGATTAAATTCATCTTTCTAAAAGTAAAATAAAGCCAGCAACTCTCGTTTCTCAAATCTCAATTATATAAAAATCCAAGCCGCAACATTGGAGCTAGAAGTGAAAAAAGCAATCCCCAGCACGAAGTTCGACTAAGGGGAGCTAAAAAAACATGTTCATGTTTGATCAAACAAAAATGCTTCAACCGAAATCATTAATCCTAACGGATACTGACAACTCTCAACCATGGATGCTTAAAGAACAACCTAATTCAGTTGCTAATGTATGTGCATGAGTCAAATATTAAATAATCAAAATATTGTGGGAGAAACAGAGCATTGCCTGAGGGCTGAGGCAGAATACACTTATGCTCGTTTATTCCACCACCAACCTATCAATAAACTATCTTCGTCAAGCTCCACTGATAAAGCCATAACAAGAAGAAAGTTAACCATGCAATCGAGGATTAGAGGGAGAATGAAAATAAAGAACCAGTGATGCAACTGCATGTTTTTGTTGAATTACAGGAAACCATTGAGCAAAGTTCTTATGATCTTTCTTGCTGTGCTCCATTTGTTGTTTATGTGACCCTTTTATGTGCTTTGTTATTTGACCGAGAATGGGATCAGTTTTTTCATATTTAGTGTAGGAAGCAACTAAGCAAGGGGCCGGAAAGGAAGATTCTGAATGATGAACAGCTTTTTGTGCTCGTAAAATAAATTTTCAGATGTAGGCAGATGAAGATTTAGTTTCCATTATATGACTCAACAACCGCATTGAGTTGGAATGCTCACATGGCATGGAAAATTATCATAAGATACCCACCGTTAAGTTTATGGACGGAAAATATGACGGTGCAACCGAAAGCCGAGTTATGTGGTTTAGTTGCAACTAAAAAAGGTTAAGTGGTTGGCACGCAACAAAAGCAATACTTAAGTGGTATCCGGTGCATTTAACCCTTGGATCGGATGAGTACCCGTGGGTTCGGGTTTTGTTGCCATCCTAGGCACAAGTCCCTATTTAAACCATCCAGGGATTGCTTAGCTACTATGATGTAAATGGTGCTGGGCCCTAGCTAGCACACATCACATGTAATGCTACCAAATTCCCAGAGCCCATCACTTGTGGGCTTGTGGCCTGTGGGCCTGTGTGGCTTCCACCCCTTATGTTCATTCCTTTTTCCACCGACGCCTTGAATATAGCCGTTGGGGACTTAATGGCGTTCTCTCCCCACTTCCCCCAAACCCAATTCTCACTGGTTGATTACTTCAGAGTGACTTAATTAATTAAGGAAGTTGCTTGCATTAAGAAGAATGTCGTGATTAGAAACAAGGATCATACGGAAGTTGATTTCGAGGTTTGGTTATAGGCCGTGAAGAGTTGGATTGATTAGCGAGAAAACAGGGTTTGATTGACAAGCGGGTGGTGGGTTAGAGTGCACATGAAACTATCATTAAAATGCACCCCAGCAGCTCAACAACCCTCCAACATCATTTCACATGCAACCCAACCCAACCCAACTCAACTCACCACCATCATTATCATCAATCATTAACACCCAGCAGAGCAAAGTCATAAAGCGTAAAAAGTAAAAAATAATGATGAAAAGGTAAAAAAGGAGAAATGATCACTGCACTGGAGGACAGATATAATTGAGTACTGTTTCTCTGTAAAATGTCTCCCCTGCCGGGTTGCTCCAGTTACAAGATTGCTTAAATTAAACTCCCCTTTCGTTACCAACATGATCATGAACACGCATAATTTCGAGACAAATGGTGCTCGCCTCAATATATATTGCTTTCGTGTTAGTAAGTAAACTGACAATGGAAAAGCCCATGCAAACATCCCAAAACTTACGCTGACAAGTAAATAAATCCTTCCTATACGAGAATGGGGAAAGGGACACACAGCTAGAACTAGAAAGAATAAGATGGTGGTTGATGTTTACTTCTCAACAGGAGTCACAATTGAAGGGAGAGAAGGAGAGCAGAATGACAGGCACCGACGCATCAAACGACTGACGACGACACAATCACATGGATGGATAGACAGACAGGCAGACTTCGTTAGAAATGAAGAAGAAACACACTCCCCTCCCGTCCCACATTTAATTGTGACGGATCGAGGTGGACATACAGATCCGAACCACCAACGCTTCGGCGCCTGCTTCTATTACTACTATAGCACTTGTGCCTTGGTTTCTGGTTTTTCCGTTGAAACAGCAGGCCGATCGAGGTTGACACCAAACAAGAAAAGATACACACTAAGCAGTTCAATGGTGGAATGGAAGGGAGAGACAAGACAGGAAGGACAGCAACGTACGTATATAGTGACATTGTGCAAAAAATGTACACTTTGTCAGTAACAGTAATGGTGGGCGGGGAGGACGAGGGCTACAGCTGTGGTCCGAGGTTTTGCAGAGATGGGGACTTGAATGGAAGAAGACGACGCCAAGAAACAATGACAGGCAGTGGAGTGGCAGTGCAAGAAAATGGGCAAATTAAAAATTTGAAGTGCTTTTGCTTAATTGCTATATGGTGAATTGGTGATGAGGAGAGGAGTTGCCCAATTTTTGGGCAAAATGAAAAAATGGTGGGAAGGGAAAGGAGAGGATCGGAGGGTGTACTAGTACTACTAGCTTATAATAATAATAATATAAGCTTAGGTAGGCGCTAGCACTGGCGGCCCCGACGACAGCCAAGGGCACCGGCGTTGGAAGTAATGGATCCGACCATGGAAGAAGACTTGGCACCCAAGCTAGAAGCACGAGCGTAGCTTGCAGAAGCCCCTGCTCCGGACGGCGTGAAGTAAGCTCCGTTGAGCAGCAGGTCTCCCTCCGACCTCCAGTTCCAGCCCTTCCACACGCCCGCCGCCGTATCCACCCTCTTGGTCACCTCCTTGGCGAAGCGGTTGATGGGGGCGTTGTATCTGTTACCCTGGCTGTTAATGGTGGGGTTGGCACTCCCTCCGATCGCGTACATCTCCCAGTGGGTGTAGTCATTGTTCACCACATGGAAGTACCCATGTCTACATCTGCACAAGATAAAAGATACAATTGATTCTCTACTTACCCACAAAAGAACTAAATGGAACAAGTTGCGTGGGGGCCAAGCCAAGCCAAGCCAGAGACTGGTAAGTTTGGAAAGGGGGAAATAAATGTTCACCTTGGCATCCTCTGGATGAGTCCCTCTCCGAAATGGTTGTAAGCGATGGTCACTTGCATTTGCTTGTCCCTTGTGTAAGAGTCACTATGCCCCAGCAGCATCACCTGCATCATTCATTTTGCACATCACTAATCAATACTATCCACCGCACGCACCGCAGGCAAACCAAAACACAAACCCCTTCCCTCACCTCGTTATGGTGGGTCATGTGATTGTTGGAGATGGTAATGGCGGTCGAGCCCATCACCGCATCAACCAGCCCATCAGCACAGTGAGAGAGCGAGTTGTGATCCACCCAAATGTGGCTAGACCCGAAGATGGAGATGGCATCTCCGTCAGCCATGGTTCTCCATCCAAAGTGTGTCTCCGAGCTCCTCACCATGGCGTTCCCTGTGGGCTTGCAGTCATGGATGTGGAGGCCGTGGATGATCACATTCGTCACGAACTGGATGGTAATGCACCCTCCATTGGCGATGTGGACATTGGCACCACGCCCGTCGATCGTCTTGAAGCTGTTCATGATCAGTTCTTGCTTCAGTTGGATTACCATGTCCCTCTTGAAAACAATCCACAGCGGCCGGTCCTGGATCACAGCGTGGCGCAGGGTCCCCGGTCTTGGGTTCACAGGGTCGTCGTCTCTGGGATCGGTCACCACGTAGAACCGCCCATCACGCCCGCCAATGGCATTCCTCCCGAACCCAATCCCACAATCAGCAAGCCTCTTGCGGTTCTTCTGCCAGTGTGGGTCACAGCGCCAGCAATCATCGATGGGGTTGCCCGTTCCACAAGAGAAATATCCTAGTTTCCTCCTTTCAGTGCTGTTGTGGATGCTCCTGCAATGCAAGTAAGTGGTAATCAAGACAGCCAGGGGACCAAACCAAACCAATCCAATCCAATCCAATCCAGTTAGATATATGTACTAGTCATCATCGCCACACAACATCAACCCAAGTTCAATCCAGTCAGTTAGGATGGATCAATAGTCAGTCGACAGTTAAAACACAAAGCAATAAATTAGATCACATTCCTTATCCACTTTCTAAGTGTGTGGTACGTACTGGTAAACACACTCTGTTATGCTTTGTGGATGAATTATTATTGCTGGCTACCAAACCAAACCAAACCAAACCAAACCAATTAGTGTATACACAAGGACATGGTGTGTATGTGTCGGTGGTGGAGGGTACTACTCAGACTAAATTAACTATCCTTTTTTTCCTTTTCTTTTCTGCTATCCAATCCAACCCTATCTTCCTTTTAGCTCAACTTCCACAGCAAGAGCAGCAAGAGAAAATAATGCAATTACCAGATGGAAACAAACAGATTGGCAGTATCTGAGTGAGAAGTAAGGACCATCACCAGCTAGCTATGCCATTGACAATATATGGTTTTTAGTACACAAAGCCAAAAACAGGGTATGTTTACGTTACTTTTGTCCGGGTATCAATAAAATAAGCGTAGCCGAATGAAAATGTCACAATCAAGGTAACGTTAAAAACTCTTTTCTCTTTTCACCCTAAGCAAGCATGTTCAGTGATGAACCCACCCACGCTCAGTTCTCCCCGTTCCAACCCCCCAAACTGAGCCAATAAATTACTACTGGACAGAACATGTCAGCAGGGAGAAAATTATCCAATCAGATATTCTGGATATAAAGATACATGCGATGCGAGAAACAGATAGACTAGGCAACAAAAGCATATCTCACCTCACGCTGCCACCAGGTCGAGTGGCAGGTAAGAGAGATAAACAGCGTGAAGAAAAAGTTGCAATCAGCTAATAAAATAAAATAAAATAAAAAAATTAACAAAAAAGATGAGGGAGTGCAGCAGCCGAGGAACGTGGTTTCTGATATTTTCTTGCCACATTGGTAAAGTGGGGGAGTTTCACCAAAAAGACCAATCCAGCAATGGAAGCAAAAGAGAGGCAGCCAAGAACCCTGAAACCCCCTCATCAATTCAATTCCCCCCCTAATCGCACAATTTTCAGATGTACAGTAATAGAAGCAACCAATGCTCAGCCAGAGATTGAAAATTCGATGGTAGAAAGGATCGATAAATGGGTGAATTGCAAGAAACAGAGTGAGTAAGAGAAACAAACGTACATTTCCACCATTGAAACCACCTCTTCTGGGTCCTGAACAGCATGCTCATTGACATTGTTCCCGGGTGCATCATTAACCGCTTCTTCTCCGGTGCTGTCAAAAAGCAGGAAGAGGAGGACTATGTAAGGGAAAAGGAGTACTGAATACCACAATCGAAATGAAAAGCAAAAGCTACATCAGTAAAAAGGTAAAACAGCATGCATCATTCAGTCGTCTACCGTAGGTGGAAACGTGTCACCGACCACTTGAGAGGAGTAGGGACAGTAAAAAGTTGAAGCGGCCATAGCCATAGGCGGAAGTGACAGAAGAAGAGTGAGGGAAGGGAAGGGTGTCCGTTTGGGATATTGTGCCTTCATTTCCTGCTTGCTTAACCTACACAGCCACTATCGTCACATGGCCGTCGCTCTATCCTAAACTAAAACCGTTTAAAGGCGTTTTCTTCTAATTCGCGGGTATAATTTATTTATTTATTTATTGCTAAACTACACCTGCGATTAATAAATGATCATGAATTTACCCTGGAATTCTTGAAATGGAATTTAAGGTGAATTTAAGTCGGTTGGGGGTAAAAAGACTGAAAAGGCTACTGCGAGAGAGCGGCGAGGAAAAAAGGAAAAGAAGGTTCCGCTTCTCACCTTCCGCAACTAAGGAATCCAAGAAAACGAACCGTAACTGAATAAACGATCCAGATCTAAGATCCAGAGTAATCAACGGCACAGATTCTACGATGCGGTTATCGGCCGGACACCCAACATTAATGCAGCAAGCAAACCCCCCCATCTAACGGTCCGGGAAAGCACAATGCGCACAGACTAACGGATCAGATCAAACGGAAGTAAAGGAGAGAGGGAGGATTCATAAATGAATTCCAGCTACTTTAGCAGCGAGTGTTTTTTTTTTTTTTGGGTTTAATTAATTACCTAGCCGCCATGGAAGAGTTGCTCGAGCTCTGCAACGCCTCAGTTTCCACATTCCTGTACAGAGGAAGAAGAAGAAGAAAGAATAAAAAACAAAAAATAAATATACAGAGTCGAGTCTAGTATGAATCAGCTCAGGGTCGGGGTAGCTCAACAGTGTCGGTGTAGTTAAGGCTATTACATTCCAGCTCTCACTTTCTGTTCCTATTTACGGAAGACCAACACAGGAAAGGGCAAATAAATGAAGAGGAAAGGCAAGTGGTGGGAGGCCTTGTAAGAGAAACCGCCATTAATGCAGGCGGTTAACAGAATTAATTGAGATTCGGTGAAATCCTCATTCTCCATAGCTCTGTTCGATCTCAGACACTATTGTAAAGAGGTCCGGAATGCAGTTCAAATTCCACAAAGAAACAGTCCAAACATTCTCTAAAGACCAAGATTCGCTTCACAATGCGTCAGTTCAATACCTGGTTGTGGAACCTTGAGAAAATAACCAACTATACCACATTCTCAGCTAGGAATTTGTGCGTATCGTAGCTAGAAACTGTACTTACTGGACGGAAAACAAAACTGAAGAGCAGAAGCAAACTGAACTAGCTGGGAATTTCGAAAACTAGGACGAGAAAACAGAGCAACAGAGCTCGCTCAATTAAGTCGTAAGAAAAGGGGGGGGGGAAACTACAAACACGAGTGTAGAGTGCGAATTGGGGTAATGTAGGAGACGATTAGCTAGTAGAGAGCAGAATTCAACGGAGATTGAAAATGCATATCGGCGTACCGAGTCAGAGCAAGACCGGAGATCCCGCCATTCCGAGCAGTGGCCGTAACTCCGACGACCATCACCACGACCAGCACCGTGCACAGGGCGAACCATCTCAACGCCTCCGCCATTGCTCTCTCTCTCTCTCTCGCTCTCGATCTCTCTGTGTGGAAATCCCGGCGACAATTGCAGAGAAGGAGGAGACAGCAGACAGAGGTGGGAAAAGGAGAAAGCAGAGTGTGGAGTCAGAAGAGAGCTGCAACAAAACGACCTTTTTTATAGACTGCCTCCCATTGGAAGAGTAGGGGAAAAGGGCAAAAACCGTAAACGTTTGCAGTTGACGCCGTTAACATACCACAAACGTTAACGTTTCGTGAAATTCCCACTCCGTTTCTCAGCCGTTTGCCCTGGTTAAGTGGTTGGTTAGGTCTCATTTGTATTATTAGGTTTATCTAACCGACCTAACCCAACCCCACCCCACCCCACCCCACCGGGTAACTAACCCCTTATTACAATTGTTCGTTAACTACTCTAGTTTACGGGAGCCGTTGGCCGTTGCCACCGATTCCGCACGTGTGAGCAGTGACCGCCGTTGCCATCTTCTCACGTGCCGGGGTAATTCCTGTCTTCTTTTCATATGATAGCGGATAAGAATAGAGATTATTACCACGGGACGGAGCAAGGTAACTAACTGAAAATAACGATTTAACCGCATGAGCGCCACGTCAGCAAGACGGTTACGGTGGGATTGGGACCCATTCTTCTCCCTCCAAGTACGGAAGCAGGAGGTCACAGTTTCCTGCTGATTTTGCGGCAAGGTAACCTCACCAAAACTCAATTGCGTGCATAATTAGTGAAGTTCATTCTCCCCGTAAGAATCAATTAATTATGGCCTGGGTTCCGATACAAAACCCGTATGATGATACGATCGGGTTTTGCAGACTGGAGTTTTATACCATATTCGCTCCCATTAATCATTATTAATCTCCCGTTATCTAAGTTAATATTATGGCTTGTGAAGGCAAAGTTATATCAGACAAGTTGGCGAAATGATAGTCAGTGGTATAATCGTGATTTGAACGATAACATGTTAATCTTAATATATGATTATACATTATGTCAACCAAAATTTTCATATATTATGAATTCACAATTTAATCACATTGTACTAGCATGTACAGACTTGTATATACGTGTACCGTAACAATCTAACTAACTTTAAGTGTTTTTTGTGGTTTGATTGTCGATACTCGATACAGTATCGCAAAGACACAAAGTATGAGAATTATAAGTCGGCCTCATTAATAATTACAAGGTTTACAAATTATTTGCTAATTCTTCGTTAACCACCAATATTACTTGCACTCAGAAATTCAGATTGTACATTAAACATGCGGTAGCTAACTAGCTATTACTTATTAGTAAATTACCATGATGTTGTGTTGTTGCTCTTTTTTAATTATTGCATTTATTCTTCGGTTGGTGCTAATTCTGGTTTTATGTTGTTTTATCTTTTCTGTTGGGGGCGGCAATCACGACCATTTGAAATAGTTTGACCCTTGGCGGGCAGACAAGCTTCAACCTCTGAGAAGTGAAGAGGAACAAGGGGAAGAACAAAATCAACTCCGTCGAAAAAGCCACAATTAAAAAGTTGTAATCATGTTCGTTCGTTCTCTTCGTCTTTTTCCCTTTTCTTCCAATTCTATTGCTTGTTGCTTTTCTTCCATTCCATTACTCCTCTGTTTCATTGTCGTCTTAAAAGAAAGAAAGAAAGAAAGAAAGAGATAAAGGAAAATATAAATGGAAGGACTTTTGTTCAAAGTTTTACCAAACAGAAGACCCTAAACATGTTCAAACAGACCTAATCATATGCGAAGATAGCGTATTGTTCTTCATTTTCTCCCTACCTCTTTCCTCTTCATCGAATTCAGCCGGCTTGTATTGTCATTTGGATTAGAGACATTTTCAAGCTTTTGAAAAATTAGTAAATAAGGGTATTCAGTCAGTCATACACTGGTTTGCAATGAATCATCGTAGAGTTTCATTGTTGATTTCTACCAGAAGACTTGACCTATGACTGGAGAGGAAGGCTTTTTGTATTAAGTGCATTGGGGATTCCTTTTCAGTTTTCATGGCAATGTCCACAATGACATTTGCGTTCATTGGTTGGATTCAAATGTGGAGATTTTTCTAATAATAGCACCTTTAAAAAAAAAATTACAAAACTAGCACACATCCGATAAAATTTACACTACTAGCACCTATTTTTATGGAACGCACCTCTAAATAAACCGCACCCCAAGGGAGCGTTTCTAACATAAAACGCACCTCTAAGGTGCGCTTTATGCTAAGTCAGAATGGGAAACGCACCTCCAAGGTGCGTTCAACGTTTGGTGCCCAGCGGCCTTACAGTCCGCACGATTGTGGTGCGATCAAGCGGGCAGGAGCAATGTCACGTCAGCAATCCGCGCGGTGGATCGGAGAACGCACGGGGGAGAAGCGGTTTTCGGCCTTGAAAAAAGGAGCGTCGCTTTTCAGAGCGGTCAGCTCCTCGGGACGCGGAGACCGCATCGGAAGGATGCGTTTTCAGCGCTGGTAAAATTACCAGACCGCCCCTGGAGGGTGCGGTCTGATGGGTATAAATATCCCCCCTCCCCCTCTCATTTCTTCACAACACAACCCATTCTTCCTTCTCTCTCTACAATTTATCTCTCTAAACCCTCCCCACCCAAAAGCCTAGGAAATAGAAGTCTGTTGGTTGCGGCTAAGTCCGATCTGCCATCAGAAAATATTTCTTAGGTTTTTTCCTCTAAACCCACCGAGCCGAGCCGAACCTCTGTCCGAATTTCCCAAAAAAATGGCCGATTGGTGGCAAGGAGAGGGAGTTTATGTCGATGAATTTCAAGCGGTATGTACTCATTATTCTGCTTTAATTTTTGTTGTTGTTATAAGCTTTTTAATTAATCTATGTACTAACGTCGTTGTTATTTTCTCGTAGGTTGGGGAGGACGTCGATATATACAACCAACGGTATTATCTCGAGCAAGGACCGTTGGATCCAACCGACTTGTACGACCAACCCAACAATCGGTCAAGGGATGTTTGGAACGCTCACCCGATACATACAATTCTTCACCATTTGTCCTTCTTTTATTTTGTTAATGTGCCTAGTGTAATATAAAATAAATTTATGTTGATTTTTTAATTGTGTTGGTGGTTTTCAATAATTTAATCGAATACATAGCGTCACTTACTTCGACTTTTTATAAAGAGATGCACGTCTAAGGAAATGGGGTTTTAAGCGATTATCATATCCTCCCATTACCTGGGAAAATCGGGTATTAAGAGATCCTCGGATCCCCCTTTTTCTGTCAAAAAGACTACGTTTCTAAGAAGATGTATACCTCTTCTAAGAGTCTAACGAGTGTTGCTTTGTATTCGATTAAATTATTTAAAACAACCAATACGATTAAATTATTTACCAAACAACCAATACGATTTATTTTTATGTGCACAAAAAGAATTTTATTAATTTCAAACATTTGAATATGTATGTTTCTATTTAAATTATTATTCATTAACAATGTTATTTATGTTAATTAATTTAGTATGTTTGTTTTACGATAATATGTATGTACCTTTTTAAATTATTATTCATTGACAATGTTATTATGTTAATTAATTTAGGACGTTTGTTTTATGATAATATGAAATGTTTTTTTATGATAATAAAATTCTGCTTGATGTTGCATAATTTAATATAATTAATTTAGTTATAAGAAAAAAAACCCTTACTAATATATAATAATTAACGTGTAAATTTTTGCTAGGAGGCACAAACAATAATCCGCTACAAGGGTACCACCAATGTGCTCCCATTCCACCCAGCTATCTTGCCCTTTCTCAAAAGGGCACGGTTAGACTCGATTAGGCATTTTAACGGCATCCAAATTGATCGCCAACTCATCACCGCATTAGCCGAGAGATGGAGAAAGGAGACCCATTGTTTCAACTTTAGAGAAGGAGAGGCCACCATCACGCTAAAGGATGTCGCCATCCTAACCCATCTGCCCATCGACGGCAAACCGGTGTGCGTGAGTGATCATCCCCCCGAGGATCGTGACGGTATGCCCGGTTGGGTTCATTTCATCCACAGTCATTTGGGAGTGAAAGTACCGGTGAAGGGTTGCGTTGATGCGACCGATCGCATGCCACCAATGAGGAAACACCAAGTCTCAATTACATGGTTGATGAAGTATTTTAGAGACCATTACGAGAGTCATCCCCTAACCGAGGAAAGTCCGGAGGATGAGAAGGAGAGATATGCTCGTGTCTATCTCATAGGCATGATCGGAGGAGTGTTCTTCTCCAAGAAATCAAGCAATCTCCTTAGTTGTGGATGGCTTAGGATCATCTTCAGTAGTTGGGAGGGGATGGGGGAGTATAGTTGGGCATCCGCTTGCCTAGCTATGATCTACCACAACTTGTGCAATGCGTCTCTAAAAGCTGTAAGGGAGGTCGGCGGCGCAATGTTCATCGTCCAATTTTGGGCTTGGGAGCATATGCCATGGATTGCACCGGTCCAACGTCCAGACAGGGATTGGCCAATCGATCATCCCCTAAGAGGTGAAGCTTATGGGGCAAGGTAAACTTCTCATACCCCATCATGTAGTCATAACATATTTTCCCTTGTGTTTTATCTTATTGTAGTTTCATTATTGTCTTATTAATAAGGTGGCTCGGACACACGACATGCGACAACCTTGTCCAACACAATGTTGGACGAGTATCGGAGGAGGTTTGAGCGACTTTGGGAAGGAGAGGTAACTTCTATACTGCGATCCATTTCTATTTTTTTCCATGGGACTACATGTATTTTTCTAATTAGTTAATCTTACGTTACTCATTTCTTTCTTGTAGATCGTCTTCGATCCATACCCGGAGAACATCGTTCATTGGCATCTCCAGCAATTCCCCGGTCATATCGGGCAATGGTGCACGAGGGTTCCTCTAATATGTTTTGGGACCGTGGAGTGGCACTTGCCTGATCGATGCCTCCGTCAGTTTGGTCGGGAGCAGTGCATTCCGTTGGAGGTCCCCGAGAGTCAAAGGGCCTTCCATGGCCGAGATGGTCGGCAAGGTACTCGCGATTGGCCCACAAAGTTAAAGGAATTCATCACGATTTGGGAGAACCGACAATTACATGATATTGTCACTCCAAATCAAGTGGGCCGAATGGGGTATCATGACCCATACTTGGATCGATA